TTCTCCTTGTTTGGCCAATATAAAAAAGTTGCCCCACAAAAGCCACAAATCAACTCATATCGGTCCTCTTGAAACGATACTGAAGGTTTGTTTATAATGTTCTCAATAAATTTACCTAAACTATTATTCCAACGGCCTATTTCCAAATGTGGTTCAATACCAAACTACGTATGAGTTGTCCATAGCTGACATCGAGGGTAATTTCTGCTCACGTAGTAAATTCTAGCTTCATTTCCATGTTCCGTTCTCAACCCATCTGTATGCCAGGTGTTCCCGTCAAGCATGTTCTTGGAATAACTGTTCATCATCCTTTCTATAGTAGTAGTAAATTCCAGCTCCCTTCCCATGTTCCGTTCTCAACCCGTCTGTATGTCAGGTGTTACAGTCAAGCATGTTCTTGGGATGACTGTTCATCATCCTTTCTCTTCTATATCAAGTGCTCTTAAATCTATTTCTCCAACATTCCAGTCCTGGCCTAACCAATGAGACAAAATCCCTGATGAATTCTCTGTTTCGTTTTCGTTTGGCCATCCTGTATGAATTCCTAGGAAAAATTTATTGAAGATGCATTCATCTGAAGCTCGTTCACAGCCAACTTTCGCATCATCTCGTCATGCTTTAATGAATTTTTCAGTTTTTAGCTCAATTTGACGCGCCTTTCACGGTGCCGAACGTCTTCCAGATATTCTAAAAATGCTCGGAGCGTCACCTTTTATCATACTTCGCTGCCCAATAACTTTTCGAAGGATAAACGTTGCTACTTCTTTCTTTCATCTTGAATAATTTATTCTGCTTGGTCGTTTGATAGATGGGGACTTGAATGGCAAATATCTCGACAGAAACATTCTTGGGGGCCTGGAAAATATCTGAGTTTAAAAGTATCTGAGTTGGAAATATTCTGAATGTTGATTTGCGAAAAGTTTATATTTGGTCGCGATGTCTTATTCATGGTTCTGATTTCGAAAGGAATGCGAAAAGTATAGCATTCCTGTGTACAAGCTCTAGGGGATCCGGAAGTATACCTCAAAGCACTCTGAGTAAGTTCATTTTTCAACATCTGCATATTCATCGAATTTTACTGCTTGCGAGTAATATATAGTGACACTATTAGATTCAGAGACTAATATGATTTTTTATCACAGACTCACGCATTGCTGCCAAAGAATCCGCTGGACTGTTGACAGTTGGGATGGAATTAAAGGATGCAATCTTGCTAGGATAACCCTCGGCGACCCTGAGAAGCTGACGCCGAAGAAATATCTGGCGATGACCAGGACAATTCTTCTCTTAACAGTAGGATTTCTGACTAGCCACTGTCAACTAAGGAAACACCTTCATAATATGAGGCTAGTGGACACACCTCTATGCAGGATGTGTGAACAGGAAGATGAGACTGTTGCGAGACTTATGCGAGTGCCCGGAGTTATCGTTAATATCGTGTGTTCGGCGAGTCTTGACCAACACCTGCCGATATAAATGAGATGTCTCCTAGTGACCTGTCCACTTTCCTGGAAAGGACAGAATGGACGATGACCTATGAGGACAACTCCTCGGGAGGATGTACAATGGGTCACATGTGGCCTAAGTGCTGTGTGCTCACACTCCCTACTCTACAGATACAGATATCACAGACTCACTTGCAAACCAGCAAGACCACCCATACGCAACTTGAGCTAGATGGTTGCTGATAGCGAATCCTCACCTTGGACCCAAACTATATAACAAGCTAGATATTTCTATTAAGGACTCAATGAATATCTGCGTATTCAAAAGACAATTGAAAAAATATCTCATTGAAAGAAACTTTTGACGAGTTTTAATAGTCACTCTCGATTAAAAAATTGTTAATTACCTTTATATGGTAAAGTATCTGTCATGCTGCGAAAGATGCAACAAAGGGACAAAGGCAGTTCGTTATGTTTTATAGGAATGTGACACATTGGATCAAAGAAGGTAACCACTATTTGGACATCCCAAATTATATCCAGAAGATGGGATACACAAAGACAAAGAACCTGTATAAATTAGTACATAGAAAGAAATGTTGGAATAAGCGTCATGAAAAACAAAATGAGCCTGTGGGGCTGCTTGTATTTTCAGATGAACATAAAAAAATTGAAAAGAAATACATCTGTGAAATAGCAAGACAATATTTGGAAAGAATAACATATGAGTTCATTTGGAAATGATATTTTCGCTCCTTTCATTCGTGTCAGCACCCATTTGAAGATGTTTCCAAGCAGGACAGAAACAAACTCTGAAACAAATCTGTTACAAATTCAACACATCTACAATCAGTCAAATTTTTCCGAAGTTTCCCTAACAAACGACCTTGCAGAAAGCCTGTCAGGCGAGTGCTTTATATGAAATATTCAATATAGAATTTCATGAGCGAGCAGGGATTTTCCGCACAATAAATTTTCCTTTTAACGGAGATTGACGAGCAGTGGGAAACAATAAAAATTGTTGATCCACGTCAGCGTGAAAAAATGGAGCCTTCCGGCTGTTATCTGCCATGCAGTTTATGATGAATCGCCGCGGGGTGTGATATGGTGCTTAGTTACGGCTTCATTATGAAAATGTTCCTTTCATTTCATTTGGACCCATTAACTTTTATGGACCACTTGATCTCAATTATCCGGACATGATGACTCTTATTCTGCTTCTGGATTATGTCGTATCCTTAGCGCTTATGTAGTGTATTCCACTCGAATAATAATAATGACGAAGTGGGTCTGAAAAGTTTCGGACCTCAACATGAAGATGGCAGCACTCTTGAATGAAAGCTACTGAATTTAGTCGTTCATCTGTTGATAGTTACTCACTACAGTTTCAGCCAGTTTGGATGCGCAGTTGTTTTGTAACAGTCATTTGAGTGACTCAGTGTGAGTGTTTTTTTATGAAAATGGACAAAATCGAGTATCGAGCTGTCATACGCCTACGTAAATCAAACATGAGTTGGATTATGTGTATGAAGACTCTGCATCAACATTCATAGTCGAAGTGGACGATATTGTGTACATTTAGAGTTGGCGGCACTCTCAAAGACTAAAAAAACCAATACATAGAAATGAACCGGCAGAAAACTAGTCCACATGGACTGTAGACTTTTGGATGCATTTGAATATTGAAACACAGAGAGTATGTTTCAATGTATATAAGAATCCACATCTCAGGTATGGTTTTGAGGGAAACAAATTATTACAAGCAACATCAGATTTGACCGGAATTTCTTTCTCAACTGTACGTAAAATAGTCAAAAAGAAACCTTATGAACGCAAGACGCGATGTGATACAGGATTACGAAGATGTTCACCTACAAAATCATTGGAAAAACAATATACGACTGCTATAAAAGCAATGAGATTCCTACAACTGAAATCATAAGGAAGAAATTGAATACTTCCTGCCATAACGTGAGCGGCTGTGACAAAACTCTTCAGAATTGGATAAAGAAACTAGGATTCAGATTTAAAATAATAAACAAACGTCAAGCAGTTATGGAAAGCAGAAGAACAACATGGACTGTAGACTTTTGGATGCATTTGAATATTGAAACACAGAGAGTATGTTTCAATGTATATAAGAATCCACATCTCAGGTATGGTTTTAAGGAAAACAAATTATTACAAGCAACATCAGATTTGATCGGAATTTCTTTCTCAACTGTACGTAAAATAGTCAAAAAGAAACCTTATGAACGCAAGACGCGATGTGATACTGGATTACCAATATGTTCATCTACAAAATCATTGAAAAAACAATATACGACTGTTATAAAAGCAATGAGATTCCTACAACTGAAATCATAAGGAAGAAATTGAATACTTTCGGCCATAACGTGAGCTGCTGTGACAAAACTCTTCAGAATTGGATAAAGAAACTAGGAAATCGATTTAAAATAATAAACGACAAGCAGTTATGGAAAGCAGAGGAATAGTGGAATTGCGTAACAAAGACTCAGAACAAATAACTAAATATAGACAAGAACAAAGGATGGACTGATGGTTCGAGAATATATACGCCTAACATGCCTGCAAACAAAGGATTGTGACTAATCATTGTGCATTGCGGAGGAAGTAAAGGATGCGTTCCGAATTCTTTGAAATTATGTGGAAAAAACTTGAGGCCTGCAATGTCGACTATACATTTTCGAAGAATGGTTTGAAAAATCAAAGAAAGAGTTTGATGTCATGTGTAACATATTTGATGATTCACATAGGTCAAACTTGAATAACATTAAACCGCGCATAAAAACAATTTCTCCTTACATGTATCAAATGACAGGGTTTGACTAATAGAATTAGTAGTACACTTCGAAAAAGATGCAAATTCAAGATGGCCGCAGCTACAAAATTTATTGAGGAGTTAGATTGCAACACATTGTCGTTAAATACACTTTGTAAGACTAAGGCACTAAATGAACTAGACAAAATGAAAAGAATTGAGTAACAAAATCAGAAACAGAGAACTTGAAACTAAAAGTAGTGAAAAATGTGTTTACGTTAAACGTTTCTATTGAAAAAATATTATCAATAATTATTGAATAATTCGAAAGGTCCTAGGGAGATATCATTACATCACTCTCCTCAGTGATCTAAGATATTTATCAGATATAAAGATAATAAAATCGTTGGGCGTAGTATTCACATATTTACTCAGGTTACGCTACGTCCAACAATTTTATTATTTTTTCATCTGATCAATACCGTAGATTGCTAAGAAGATTTGTGTGATGACTCCTACCAAGACCTTCCGAATAATTTCTTAGCTTTCAAAACATTATCTATATCGTTATTATTTGCTTTTTCAATAAAACCGTTCAACATACTTTTTTTAATTAATTTATATATATTTGTTATCTATAAGTATACCAATGTCTACCGGAAATGATTAATATGAATCATCGTTCATGCGAAAAATGTTTTCCAGCTATATTTCTACAATGTAATAATCAATCTCAACTAAGTTGAATGTACAGTGTCATTGAGAATACTCACCACTGAGAATCCCGAGCAGGATGAACGTGAAAATATGTCTAGCCAGAACTGCAAATTCTTCCATTTTCAACACGACTGCAGATCACGTAGCTTATCCAGATTTGCACACCGTTTTGTAGTTTGACAGAATGGAGGGTTTACGAAGACATTGTCTGTTGATTTCATCAAAACATGAGTAACACCCACATATATATTACAGTTAACAAGTGTTTATTTTCACAGGGGAATTTGATCTGCGATATATTTTGATTTTAACTTTATAATTCTCTTGAATGATAGATTGTTTATGAGGATAGTGGAGCTTGAAGTCAGTTGATGAAAATATTTTCGAAAAATCAGTCCTGAAGCAACTGAGTAGCTTAAATTGGCAGTAAATATGATGGTTATTATGGAAAGTAGACTCATGAAAGCATATAAAACTTTTGAAACAACCTGATATTTCGAGGTAAAAGTGAAATGAGCCCCAACTCATCATCAAAGTTATAGGCCAGTCAAAATCTACAATAAACTGAAAAAACATCATGTATTTCTGATTTTTCAGTATGTTGTTAGGACCCATTAGGGCAATGTGCAAGTTTGCAACTCTCAAAAAGTTGTGGAAAAATTTTTACATACCAAAAACTGCGAAATTTTTGGACCTGTTTCGGATTCTGCTCTATATCTCCTAATCCATTCATTTTTCGACAAAAACCATAATATACGGTTTTCAAGAGCATTACATTTGTGATAGAGAAAACCCAACCGGAGCTCTGTAGGTCAATCAATTGCCGAATTACGGCACTTTGAAAATACGACAGTTGTTCCAAAAATTAAAAAAATTAGTTTTACTGTTGATTGATTTATATTCCATGATTCTTCTGATAATAAAAATTTTTGGTATAGTACTACACGAACGGTGGCGGGTTATTTTACCAGGGTTTCAGTTTTTTCACGTCAGAGATATCTCGTGCGATTTGTGTAGGTCGCATATCGACATGCTGTTCAATTGTTGTGGCGAAAATGTCCCATTCCGTCGGTCCAAAGAGAGAGCATACTTGTTGAGATATCTCTGCCATGGGTTAGGCCACTCTGGCTCTTCATTGAACGCATGAATACCTGTTCTGAGCTTTATTCAAAGCTAACCAAATTGCCTACAAATTATATTCTACAAGCTCTACTCGTGAAACTCAAATTTTTATTTTAGGAACAACTGGCCTATTTTCAAAGTATCATAATTCGGCGATTAATTGACCTACAGAGCTCCGGTTGGACTTGATTCGTCATAAATTTATTGCTCTTGAAAACCATATATGAAAGTTTTCCTCGAAAAATTGATAAATTAGGAGATATAGAGCAGAATCTGAAACAGGTCCAAAAATTTCGTGGTTTTTGGTGTGTAAAAATTTTCCTACTTTTTGAGAGTTGCAAATTTGGGTATACATAGCCCTAGTAGGTAGCTAAAAAATCAGAGATACATCATGTTTTTCCAATTCAGCGATTTTGTGTGTCGATTTTGACTGGCCTATTATAGATATAAACGTATAAAATTCACATTCAATCATTGCTATTCAGTTATTCTGAAATCTGTACACATATAACAAAGCTGGAGCTGTTTCTGTTTTGTTTGAACGGGCCAATTTCTGAAACTATCAGTCGGTTCAAAAAAATATTTTTGTGTATAATTGTCACATTCTTGAGGAATCCATTTGACCTCATCCTCATATAATCGTATTCCTAAGGTAAATCAAAAGAAAGAGTAAGGGTTAATTTTACGTACACTATCTACCAATATCTTTGTAGATTGTGGTTTTTAGTAGATATAAAAAAAGGTCGGGATCACAATGTGGGATAAAATTATTGAAATTCGAAAGATCAGGTAAAGATATAATCTACACAGCGATAGTTGCTCTATCTCCAAGGCAATTTTATAAAGATAAACTCCTCCCGAGGTCCGAGCGTGTCAAAATATCTCTCTACGCCAATGACACGGCTCTCCTCTCATCTTTCATGGGTGGAGATCATCTACATGCAACGTGCATTGGATGACCTCGAGTGCTGGTACCTCGAATGGACTCAGGCGTTAACCATGGCAAGAACGATATCTTCTCCGGCCAGAAAAATAAGAATCTCTGGAAGAGAGATCGACTGGCAAGCGCGGGTAAATTACCTCGGTCTTCTGATAGACCGTAGGCTTACCTGGAACCCGCACATCACAACCGTGAAGGCAAAGATCGAGGGTCAGATCAAAAGTCTGTACCCTGTGATCAACAGACGATCTAAACTGAGCCTCAAAAACAAACTTACGACCTACAACACGATGTTCAAGCCTGTCATCGTGTATGCTTCAGGCGTCTGGGGACGAGCGGCTCCGTCTAATATCTCCATCCTGGAGAGAGTACAAAATAAGCTAATACAGATGATAGTGAATGCTCTGTGGTTCGTGCGGAATGAAGCCATCTGCAGAGATTTGCAGCTGCCTTACATCAAGCAGTCCATCCATTCGAAGAATCGACGAGTCTTTGACTGTGCGGAAACTCACGATAATCTGTTGGTTAAGGAAGCTATAGATTATGCTGTAGACGACTCCTTCCGATAAAGACGGCCCAGACACTCTGTCAAGTGAGGCCCTCATGTCCCCAGTTGAAAAATGAACAATATCTTCATCCAAACACCCCAGCCAGGTAGGGGTCCACCGTGAAGGGCGGTACTGATGTCAGAAGACTTTCATACCGCCACCACCTCTTAGTCATGAACCCATTTGTCTTTTTGACGAAAATCAGCTGCAAGGGTAAGGGAGCTAGGCTCCAACCTGATTGAACTGGAGATGGCTCTCGATAAATATAAACTTTGGATCCTCAAAAATCTCATTTGGACTCAGAGCTCAGGAAAAAATCACTAAACATCACTATGTACTGAGAGGGTGGTGCGAGAAGAGCTAACATTGTCCACCGAATGAGAAGTTAACATTGTCGAAATGAACCAAACTCTAAATATCAACAAAGAACATGCCAGGATAGCTCCTTTTGCTACTCTTGATGACTTTTTTCGAATTATACGAATGAAATTGAATAATTCACATTGTTCAACCCAAGAGTGACATAGCGATTGACGAAAAATGCCATGAAGAACTGAATACACTGGTAGACCAAGATAGATTGACTATGTTCTTGGTTCCACAGGCAACTTGAAATCTGATGAGCCTGCAAGACATGGACTATCAGTTCCAACTATGGGATTACAAAAATCCCGAGTTCGGGACCAGATCAGGATGTGATTCAATAAGAAATAGAAAGGGCACCGGAGGAATTCACCAGGAAACAGGACCTACTCAAAAACGAATTGAAGAAATGTATCATTAAAGTGGAGATCAGCTCAGAATAATCAAACTGCTTACTGTCTATGAAAGGACATTGCTGTGGCATCAAATCAAAGCGAGTCTTTAGTTTTTCAACTCTTGTTTCTGTTGATTAACTGAGGAGGCTTGGTGGTATATCCAAAATGCAACTTGTCGCCTCTTCAAGACCCACATATCTGCTTTGCACCAGATACACAATCTGCATCAGGAGAGGAAAAAAAAACTTTTCTGAGCAGGGGGAGTGTTCCAAGGCTTACAGATGACCAAGTCAAAGGAATCCTAAGTATCAAAAAAGTTCTTTGGTATCAGATTTCTCTGGTAGTGTTTCTGTAGCCGTTGGAATATGTAATTCACACTCTCAAACAAGACTTACTGTTTCTGTTATCCATTCCGTTAGCAAGATTATTTTGGTGACTGTCATATTAGAGAGAATGAGAGAGAAGAGATTACAAACCTGAGAAAGGCACTTTTCTATTTGAGGAAATATGAGAAAAGAGTCGAAACAAATATTTCATGAAATGAAAGCGCATGGACATTGATAATATCATTTGAAATTCCTGAAGTACGTAGCTTTCCACTAACTGATGATAGTCAACGTGCTTTAAAAATTCATAATGAAAATATAATTGAGAGATTTTTTCAACCTCTGTTGAACTGTCTGGAATAGACTGAACTTCCTCCTGTCCTATGATCTCCGAGCATAATTCCATAATAAAAATAAAGGCTTTCACTGCCGGGGTTGTAAAAAAACAGAACAAATTATAAGTTCCTTTCGATCAAACTAGGCCCCACCAGCCCGGATTTTGTTTTCCGTAATTCTAAATTTCGTTATGAGTTCTTTGTATAATTGTTGAGTAGTGTTTATTTTCTGAGGTAGAATTAGTTCATCAACATTCAGAAATTTGAGTGTAAACCTAGATCCTGTCACATCAGAATATTTACTTCGAAACTAATTACGGTTCTCAAAATTCATTTCAATGTATTCATTCTGGATTCAGGAAATATATTTCTATCATTCTTCCAACTATTCAAAACTTCAATTTTATGTGCACCTCTACTTCTTTCTTTCCTGACTTTTTTTAATTTTTTGATGAAATTGAAATTTTCTTTTTTTTTATTTCTCTGGTTGCATGAATCAATTCGCTAGATATCAATTCCATTTTGATCCGGCTGATTTAGTGTTGATTTAGTTTCTGTAGTGGAATTTTTCCAGTTTCAAGATTTAAATTCAGTTCTTTATTTTCTTTATGATTTGCGTTTTAAATATAGTTAGTTAGCAACATAACTGAATGGAATTCATACACATGAATCATGTTACTATACTTTCTGACAGAAAGTTAGAGTTTAGTATTGCAAAAAGCTGTCTCACTCACAAGTTGATTTTTTTGTCATGATTACAAAAACAAAATTTGTGCTGGAATGTTTATTTCAAAAGTAGAATGAAAATACGCAAAACAAGTTCGTTTATATGTAACAACAAATATGAATTCCTTCAGATCCTTGGATATATTCCTTTAAAAAAAAGAGAAATATCCAATTTACTTTTTGAAAAATTCATGACTGATGGAGAAACTAACGTATTTAAAAACACTTCATTGTGAGATTTCCACTAAACAGTTTTACAAAAACATAATTCTTCCTGATAACGCAAAACTATTATCGTTTGATGTCCAAAGACTATTTCCCAGTATTCCGCCAACTGTAACAATTCGACTGGTTGAGCGTCTCTTAGACAAAAACCACGTGAATCCACTGATAAAACAGGAAATTTTAGATTTTTCTACTATTTGTCTATCTCAAAATTATTTCCAGTTTAACGAAAAATTATATTCATGCATTGAAGGACTTATGATGGGAAACCCTTTGAGTCCCTTGCTGGCTGAAACTTTTATAGATAACACGGAGTATGAAATCCATAATAATCACTTAACTAACAATTTCTTGTACTGGGGTTCAGATACATAGATGATATTTTGGTCTGTTTTACTGGTACATATAGGCAATTAGGCAAATTCGATGAATATGTGAATTCCATTCACCCGTTATAGACTCCATTCTTTCCAAAAAACTACAAAAGCAAGCCATGGACCAGGTCTACCGAAATTCAAGTTGCGATAACGTCAGTTATAGGACATTTTCATATTTGGGTGAAGCAACCAATAATATTGCCTTTTTTTTAAGAAATAATCAGTAAACGGAGCTTACAGAACTAATAGTAAGTAAGCAAATTTATTAAAAACAATAAAGACAAAAGTTCGGTGTCGGATAGATCAAGAGTATATAAGCTGACTTGTGACTCTTGCCCAAAACTGTATATTGGTCAAACAGGGAGAACAATTTACCACAGAATTAAGGAGAATAGAAATATTTTATAGAAGTAGTTTTATAAATAGAAAGAGCAATGCCACATTTGCAAACCACTTTCAAGCAGAAGGACATGAGTTCAACCAGGAATACGATATGTTACATTTAGAAGAAGAGAGTTTGAAACTCAATCTTCTAGAATGTTTTTTCAATGTGGAAACGTAGACAAACTCAAGTAAAACTCAGGTACTCGAAATGTGGATACTTCAAATTGTAAATTTAGGTATATTGAGCATTGAATATGCATACTAAAGTTAGTAGAGACATGCCCGAAGTGAAAATCTCACAATAAAGTGTTTTTTGAATACGTTAGTTATGGATTTTCTTCATCAAGTATTGACCAATTCCATCATATATGGTGAAGAGACATTCGAAGCTTTCAGTACGAGTAGAAACAAGAATTCAATTTTGATGAAAACCACTTCGTGAAAAATAAGAAGAAATGTATGAGAACAAATTTCAAAATATTCATGCCATCAGACTTCTTCATCTAATAAAAGAAAAAGTGGAGAAGTTCACATGAGTTTTGAGTCTTATTTAACAATTTGACATTGAAGTCAATGTATGTCATCTTTTTCAGCACATTATAAAAGCTTACCAAAACTTTGAGTCTTATAAATCAACTATTTTATATATTTCTGCATGTCATACATTCGAAATGCTTTTCGTGTAATTCTGTAAAAGACAACTTATTCACATCATTCACAATTTTCAGATTGAACTCGAACAATTTCCAATTTATCCTTTCAAGAATTTCACGTGGGACTCCCCGGTAAATCAACACGTCCTGTTTTCAAGGATGCCGCGCGGAAACTGTTAAAGCAGGACCATGATCACATGAGGGTGCGTCGCGACGCCTTGTAATGAATGCCACGCCCACCTCGAAGTGACTAAATTCCACAGACTGATTGAAAGTTGGGGGTGAATTGGATACAAATGAAAAACTAGTGTGGCAGAAGTTATCGGCAAATAGAGAAAAACGAGAACTACCTGTGTCTTAAGAATGATGACGGACATAATGATAATGATAATAATAATGGATGGTAGTAATGAAAATGATACCAGAGAGACCTACACTTACTTACGGGTGGAATAACGTTACTCGCAAGAGGTAACAGTAACGAAGAACTCTTGCCGCAGTAAGTATCACCACGAACTCCAAAAGATCTGGTAGTCGGAACTGTCGGGGAAAAACAAAGTTGCTGCTATAGATATGCTTGCCGCTTTGATGTTACTCTACTCCTTTGGGGCATTCATTGTAAACTGTCACATACAGGTATTATCATCCATAATTCGTCCACCCACCCGTATCAGCACAAAGTAGCAGCTTTCAACTGTATGATCCACAGACTGATAAATGTGTCCTTGTCAGAGGCGAATTTTAATAAACAACTGAACATAATAAAACAAATAGCCGTCAACTATGATTACGATAGCAGTCTAATACTCTCTTTATTATCAAAAAAGTTATACATCCAAGCTCTGAAGGAAGTTTATTCAATTTTAAGAAATGAGGATGAAAGTTATAGAACCTTAACCGTACTCAGGCCAACTCACTACAGATATTTCAGATTTTCTGTACAACAAAGGTGCAATTATTCCTTTCAGAACCAAGAACAACTCAGGCATGCACAGTAAAAATAACAAAGATAAAAGTTCAGTTTCAGAAAAATCGGAAGTGTATAAATTATCATGTGGGTCATGTCCAATGTTTTATATAGGTCAAACTGAAAGAATGTTCAAAATTCGCGTAAAGGAACACAAAAATAGTTTCCAGAATGGAAAAATCAGTTCCACATATGCCACTCATTTATTTATTGAGGTATTTGAGTTCAACCATGAATACAAGCCCCTCCATTTCCAGAAGAAAGGTTACCCTGTTGGAGAGAATTGAAATAAACAAATTCAAAAACTCTCAATATCATATAAACGATCAAACTGAATTGAATAATTCGCCATTATTGAATCTGTTCATTTCCAGGTGAAAATAGTTAAGTTTATTTACGGTACTTTCAAAAAATTCATTCATATAACTGATGAATTCATATCTGACCTTTTCAGGTAGAATAATTCATTAGAAAGTAGGCATACGAGTAGATAATATGTTAGAGTATAAAATGGTTGTAATTCAGAAGTAACTTTCAGTTTACGCTTAAGGAAGCTATTGAATAGCGAAACACTGGTCGCGGTTTTTGTAAAACCCTCCATAGTGAAAATGATACAATGAACTATATTGATTAGTTGTAGTGAAGTGGAATCGGGAGGAGCTGCATCAACTAGACGTGAAGAACCAAGTTTGCATCCCAAATCGTCCGTTCCATGGATGTACTTTCCCCAACAACAGGAGGGCCGTTGACCTAAGTGTTTGGAGTATCTACATGACAGAATGGTACTGGATGGAGCCTGTAAATTCATGAGGAGTTCGGAACCCTTTCTCTGTATGTTCTGCGAACATGAGAAAGCATGAATTGAAGCTCTCCTCTTCAAGACAAGCTGCCTGAGCTGGCTGAGCGGTTCAGTTTTTTGACAAGGAATGAGGTGATCACAGCTCTGTCACCAAGTTGGAACCCGATTAGCAAAATGTCCATATAGAAGTCGCAGATACCAATTCACTTTTTTGCCAACATGAGAATAATCCAATGCATTGGATCCTCTTCAATAACATCGAAGACAACAGCCTATCAAAACACCCGACTTCTCCTTTTTCAGGCCGGGTGGGCTGGGGTCGGGAACTGAGGAGTACATAATGGCCTGCCATTATGGTGTTTTCAACACCCCAGTCTACCGCAATCGTGTGTGATGGGTATGGAGGTTTCTGATAACAGATGCAGGGCCTGAAGCCCTAAGGCAGTCTAAGGCAAAATATGATACACTGATGGGTTTCATTCAATTTGAAGTATATTTCTTTCTTTTCGAAGCATTCGTATAAAAAATTGCTCTCGCCTCAGCAATGACAACTAGGTAGGATCCATTCTCACAGATCTATTCAAAATGCACTTGTTAACTGCTAAAAGAACGCATGCGGATTCTTCGTGTTCCCCCATTTCTTCGTGAGGTTCTTTGACGTCAATTTTTGTTTAACCACATTTGATCATCAGTTCATTTTGAAACATGCCCCACTATTCATTGCTTGTTCGTAATTTTTTGGCCAAAAAACACCGTAATCAAGGTCTCAGCCACCGTATTTACCAGATTCAGCCCCCTGCGACTTTTTTCTGTTCCCAAAATTGAGGCGACTCATGAAAAAATAGCCTTTTGCGACAATTGAGGAGATAAGGATATACCAAAAAGTGTAGGTATATCAGAACTGTTTGGAGGATTGGAAATAACGCTAGCACAAGTGTATACTATCTGAGGGGGACTACTTTGAAGGGGAAACATAGAAATTCAGGAATGAATAAATATTTTTTGAGAAAAATTGAAATTCACCTTATTTCTCTGACATCTTATATCTCTATGAATTTTTATTTGTTCGTTTTTCAGAATGTGGAAGAATAAATTCCCAAAAAAACAGGAAAATTATCTCCGCCACAAAGTATGTCTTTCGAAGAATATTAAAATTTATGAATGGCCCTAATTATGAAATATACGGTGTATATAATGAACAAAGTCAAGTCGAATGGCACAAAAACTAAATAGTTACCGAGCGTCGGCAGAATGAGTCCAGTGGAGTGGCCAGCTGGATCACCTGATCTCACACCGATGGACTTCTTTCTGTGGGGACACCTGAAATCTAAAGTGTTCTCTACTGAGCCTACAAATCTAGAACATCTGCGACAAAGAATTGTTCGGGAATGCCGATTGCTGAATAATGTACGGACGCTTTCGAGAGTAGACTGTATCATTGTATGGAACTAGGTGGAGGTCATTTTGAACAGTATATCCGTTGACTTTGTTTCCACTGATTCTATTTGTTGTTGATGTCTTCATTAAAATGAACGATAGCGAATTTTCTGTTCAACATTCAACATTCAATTTCTCAATAACGAATGAACCAAATTCTAAAAAAGTTACAGAGGTAATGGAGGGATAAAATACCTTTCAAACGGTGTATCACTCGACCCTCCTTGCCGAAGGGGGGTGAAGCTTCGGATATGATTTCTATATCAGCATTAGTCCCCATAGAAATAAAAACTGGCATGTTCTTTGAACTTTTTGATTACACGTCGTCCGTTTCTGACTTACAGAAGCTGAAGTTTTCGTTGAAGCGCCCTGTATAATCGCATTCTTTCAAATAAAGCCGTAGCATCAAAAGCTTCAGCGTGAGCTTGAATAAAATAAAATATATAAAGTTTTTAATTAACGCAGTAGGTAAAGTTAGCTCATGCATTGTGATTTTGCTAATTAAATTATACGCTTGGCATGATGAAGCATAAACAACTCATGAAACGAAACTCAAAAGGCCATTTTCGGTACGAGCAGCATGAATTACACATGTCGGCGCGGTATTGCTAATAGGATTCCAAGTTCACTGAAACGTTTACAGAAGGTGGAAAACAAGATTAATTGTTTCTTTTTTTATTTGAAAATAACCGCATCAATCTTATTGTTATTAGCAGCGAAATAGTATATAATGTACCAAGTAAGAGTAGTGGACGTAATTGACCTTATCCCCGAGGTGCATACTATACTTTTTCTACGACTGACCGTAGAAAGGAATGGTTCAATATATTTGTTTGACATTATGGCTTTGGATAATGAACTCATTCAGTCAGCCATTCAGAACAGTACAAATCAAAACACAACAAGACCTCACATTCAATATATTAAACAAAAACACTCCCATATTGATTTCAATTTAAGAGCCACCGGTAGACAGCTGTTTCAGCCTATTGGGCATCGTCAGTACCGGGCAGGCGGTCCTCGATTGAATAAATGTCATTCATAACAAACAAAATAACAAATCTACTATGACAAATGTTTAAATATATCCAGTAGTAACCAAGACATTCTCCAACAAATAAGTATTTAGTTGAAGGGGAAGGGAAGGGGACAGTAAAAATAGATATTCCTTTGAATTATATTGTCAACAGACACATCGCACCCATCAATAAGACCGACTTGGCTTTTTAGCGGAGTTATTCGTGATATTCTTCAGTTTACTTCGAGAGCGCGTTGAATAAAAAGCTATACCACATGGAACATGGAAGCTAGTTGTTCGGGAATCGTGGAGCGTCCGAAATTGTCACCATTAAATATAAATGAAAAAACAATTGTTATGAATGTATATATTTCTTTAAGAATACAATATCCGCCCGAAATAAAAAGTAAGGAAAACAACAACTTTTTCGAGCCGAAAGTATCCACTGGTAGAAAGTATTTGGTTATCGATGAAGAAGTCAAGAATTCTATTAAGAGAACAGTCCACCATTTTCACATAAAAAACAAATTACCTACATTAAATAAAGTTTTGTCAGTTATTCGTGAAGACAGTTTTTTTCCTGATATAAGAAGAACTTGATTATGGAAGATATTACATGAGCTGAATTTCACTTTCGGAAAGCAAGATAGGAAGAGCATGTTAATATAAAAATCAGAGATTGTAGAATGGAGAAGAAACTATTTAAGAGGAATAAAGAAAGCCAGAGCACTAGGTAAGTAACCATAAGTAACCAGACAGGGAGGCAATTGGACGGGCACTAAATGACAAGGAATGCCATATAGGAAGGCCAGCACAGTACATGAAATAAACTATCTGGTGCTCTATAGATACCACAAAAAGACTGACATAAAAAAAACAGAATAACAAACTGCTTTGATGGAGCTAGAAGGAAAAATCATACTCACACAGCTGATAACTTGTGCTGATGAATATGACCTGAGAGTAATGGTGAAAACATACCTAGATAGTC